AAAATATTCGAGATAAAAAAAATTGAATTGCATATTCGTGTTTAGCGTTCAATTTCACATAAAATTAATGCATAATAAAAAAAATTATTTTAAAAATTTGCTGGGCCCACTCTTCTGGTTTCGTACCGCAAATCACTTCCCAATCAATACCTCTTTGGTTTGTTGTGTCCGGACTTGACGTGTGTTGTGGTGTGGATGTGATGGCGATTGTGTGGCAGAAGTGGTGATCACGTAATGGTGGGATCCAATGGTCGGCCAGTATTGACACAACTTATGGGCGATTGTCTCTCAATGTCTGTCAATAACAACACTAATAATGAATACAATTTTTATTTTGGTTTTTCAATGATTTTGTGCCAAAAGTTTAAACTTTAATCGCATTGAGAGTACAATTGCGCAGAAATTATTGTAGAAATAAAGCGTTTAAATAGTGGCGAAGTGTCTATACATACAAAAAGGTATTCATTTCATACGAACTCCTAATGTATTAAAAGACGTCATTTATTGGACACAAATATACCGACGATTTGGGCCTTTATTTGAGTGAAAGTAGTGTTGAATAAGCGTTGAATGCATACAACAAATAGAGCCAAAGCAGAGGCAAAGCAAAGGCCATACAATTGAAGCGCAATTCAAAGTCTTGTTTTGATTGAAGTCTTATTTCAATTCACTTTCAATTCAAGTGATCAACACTTTTGAGCGATCGTTGGATCAGACAATCGGATGGCAAACACGAGGACAACGGGCGCCACATCTGCGGCGATGGGCAGCGGATCCGATACACCGATGATTGACCCGGACTTGGAGTACGCGATGGACTGCGAGATCAACGCAACGGTGATCTCCCGAACGGACGCTTTGCGGTCGCAATTGATTCAATTGACGGCCACTCGCGGCCGATGGGCGCGCACTCAAGAGGAATACAATGAGACACGGCTTCGGCTGATGAATGAGTTGAACGCAGAGATGGATCGGACGGACGGCAAGAATACATACATCAGTCAAGCGATGCTTTTCAATCACTCGAGTCAACGCTCCGGTCGGCCGGCGATCGCCGCATACGAGTCCAGTCTCTATAAGCTGTCCGCACAAGAGTTGCGCCACAGGTTTCGCCATAAACTCCGAGCGAATCCAAGCGGTGACACCACTGATGACGGAGTGGTTGAAGTAGTGTTCAAAAAGCCGCCACCGGATGACAGCTGTGCCGATACGAGCGCTGGCGGTAAACGCCGTGACAATAGCGCGGCGGCCATCGCCCCGAAGACTCACCCGAAGACTCACTCGAAGACTCACTCGAAGACTGATCTGAAGACTGATCCGCAGCCATACGTTCCCTTTAATAGGAGTCAAAGCGTACCAAATGCTAAAGTCTTTGGCACTTTAGGATCGTTTGCCAACGGTTTCGGTAATTATCACTTCATTTGTTCCCAAATTGAGTGCTTTAATGAATTGTATTTTCTTAGACACTACTGTTGGACAAAAGGCCACCCATTCGTCGGGATCTGTGGCCACCATTGGATCGCACGTCACAGCGAATACGCGTCTTCTTATGGGATCTCCGCCACGAGTTTCGGGTATATTTCGGAAGAATTCACCGAAGAATAGCCACAAATCGGTCGCCCATTCATCGAACAGTTCGGCGGTGACTGAAGTGACCGAAGCGCCGGCCAAACGACCGCTATTTATGAGCGGATTTGAGAAGAAAGTGGTCGAAGCCGTGAGGAAGGGATCTATGGATGTGTCGAACGCTCGAAACGCGTTAAGACAACAGAAGAATACGTATAAGAATCCGATGAAGAGCTCCGAAAGTGACGACAATGAGAGAGAAATTGATCCCAATCTGCGAAACATCGATCCCTTACTAATCGAAGTGATTGAGAACGAGATTATCAGCGAATTAGAGCCCATGGACTGGTCGGACGTCGCGGGCCTCGAGTTCGCGAAGAATAAGATCAAAGAGATCGCAGTTTTGCCACTCCTTCGACCGGATCTGTTTCGTGGCATTCGAAAGCCGCCCAAAGGTTAGTGTATTGTTTGTCCACAAAAGTACACATTTTAATGACACGTGTATTGACAGGTATTCTGCTGTTCGGACCGCCGGGCACTGGGAAGACATTTTTGGGCCGTTGTATCGCAGCGCAGACCAAATCGACGTTTTTCTCGATAACAGTGTCGGCGCTGAACAGCAAATGGATAGGAGAGGGAGAGAAGACCATTCGGGCCATGTTTGCCGTCGCGCGCGCCCGACAGCCGTCAGTGATATTCATCGACGAAATCGATTCACTGCTGAAGAACCGGTCGGACAGCGAACACGAGTCCTCCCGAAGAATGAAAACTGAATTCTTAGCCCAATTCGAAGGCATCGGCACTCAATCCGATGAGAAGTTGTTGATAATCGGCGCCACTAATCGACCGCAAGAGTTGGACGACGCGGCCCGACGTCGGCTGTCGGCCAGACTCTACATAGGACTGCCCGAAGCGAGTGCTCGCAAACAGATCATTGAGAAGTGCTTGAATGGTGTGAATCACTCGTTGACCGATTCGCAGATCCAGTCGTTGGCGGACCAGACCGATGGCTACTCGTGCGCTGATATGAAAGACTTGTGCCGCGAGTCGGCACTGGAACCGATGCGCGACTCAATGATTATGGATAATATCGACGATATCACCGCTCAAGAGATCCGCGACATTACGTACGAAGACTTTGTGAAGAACTTGTCTTATGTGAAGCCGACGGTCAGGAAAGAGGATCTCGTGATGTTTGAGAAGTGGAACCACGAGTTCGGCACAAATTTTCGCCAAAACTGATTCATTGTTTCCACAAGTGTTTCAAACAAATCATTCAGTTATTTGTTTTTCACGTAATTTTCCTGTAATTTGTTTTATTTTTTCTCAATAATTGTATCAAATGTTTAATTCAGTTTTGTTTAGATTTATGTCTCATTCATTTAATGGTAATTTTGAATGAAAATAATAGTAATTTTAGTGTTAATTAGTTTTTAGTAGTTATTGTAAAATAAAATTATTTGTAAAAAAAGTTGAATAAATTTTATTACCGGTAATTTTTTTTAAGTAAACATTATTTGACCCAAATTTGACGATCACTCCTATGATTGACTGTAAGATGTGTTGCACATGAAGGTGACAATGGATGGCAATGATGGTAATCATCGGCCATCTGGTCTCAAGACATGAATCGGGACATCAAGACATGTCTGAGACAATTCACATCCCGGGCGAACGTAATTAGTGAACGACTCAAGACATGACAAACCGATGGGTTTTTTGCGATAAATGAAAACAAACTTCAAAACAGTTTTTAACCACTATTCTGATAGGAATAATGTGGTTAATAGGATCGTTCTGCCCCCCCTCCCCCCGGCCCCCCCCGCTCTATGGGATTTAACATGGGATTACATGTTAATCCTATGGCTAT